GACCAATATTAATGACCAATTATTCACCAATGCTTTAAAATTAAATTAATGCTTGGTTATTTATTGGTTACCAATACTGAACCAACGTTTGAAATCAATATTTTACAAATACCAACACATAATAAAAATTTTTCAAAAAAAAAAAAAAAAAAAATTAATTTAATTAGAACACTCTGTTAAAAACAGAATGTGATAAAAATCAGACAAAGATAATATTTGTCTAAGTTTGAGAATTCAAGCGTCTCTCCTTATATAGAACTGGGAACACCACTTGCTAGTGAGTGAAAGAAGCTCTGGCGCACCCTGGTGTTCGATTTTGAAATGTCTCGCGCTGCTTCGAAGTATATGCTCGAAATTACTTTAGATAAGTGCCACCAGGGTGCGCCAAAGTTTCTTCCTCTCGTTAGCAAGTGGCGTTACCAGTTCTATATAAGGAGAGACGCTTGCATTCTCAAACTTAGACAAATTTTGTCTTTGTCTGATTTTTATCACATTCTGTTTTCAACAGAGTGTTCTAATTAAATTAATTATTTTTCTTTCTTTTTAATTTTTTAAAAGAAAAATTTTTTTTTTTTTTTGAAAAATTTTTGCTATATGTTGGTATTTGTAAAATATTGATTTCAAACGTTGGTTCAGTATTGGTAACCAATAAATAACCAAGCATTAATTTAATTTTAAAGCATTGGTAATTAATTGGTCACTAATATTGGTCCAATCTTTGTTGCCAATGAATATCCAACGCTTGGAAAGTCCGGCATTTGTCTTGGCAGCCAATAGTGATCCAATATTGGCTGCCAATGCTTGGCAAAGTCGTGATCATCCCAAGACTCTGGCAATAGTGGTCCAATATTGGTTGCTATTATTGCACCATCATTGGTACTGCTGGCTCCCAATATAGGACCATTATTGCGCCAATGGTTAATTTCCCATTGGGCAGTGAAATTTTCACTGATTCAGATTTAGAGTGTATTTAAAATAACTAAAAAGTGCGTCTACCAAAACATCTTAAATTAAGATACTTCTTTTTGCAGTGTAGTGGTTTTTTTAATAAAAATTACATTGAAAAAACAAGTGTCTCATTTTAAAATGTTTTACCATAATAATTGAAACACTTAATACGTCCTGTGTCCACATATTTGTGTCTCATTTTCAGATATGTCATACGTGTCTTCAACTGAGACGCTTGAAATGTTTCACGCTGGTTTTGTGACGTATTAGGGCTGATTGCGCGTTGCTAGAGAAAAGCTGTTATGCACATATAGCGCATGGTGTCAGGATACTTAAAGTGCATCACACGTTTAGCGTTTCATTTTGAGACACGATATGTGTTTCTAATATCTGTCTCTCAGTAAAGAAGACGCTTGATATGTGTCTCGTGCGTATATTGAATCAACATTAATATTCAAATGAGATATAGGAAATGAAATTAAATGTCTCATAATGAAACATATTTTGTATCTCAATGGTTTAAAACCCTCTATATGTTTGACAAACTTTCGTCTCCTTATAAAATACAAAAATACAAAAATACAAAAATACTGTTTTTGTATATTACATTTATAGGTATACCACAAAAAGTTCTAATCACGCAAGTTATATTTAGGCATTGCAGCTTAACTTTTAAGTTAAATAACTCATTTTGCAACTCGAGTGAGACACCAATTTTTTGTGATTAACGCGATCCACTAAGCACTTAATCAATTTTAAAATAACTATACCAAATTTCATTAGAAGAAAACTGTTAATTGATATAACTGTTAGAGAGTAAAAAATAATTCTTAATGAGTCTTGCTTTGTAGCACTTTTCCCCAATTTGTAAAATACTTTAACAAAATTAAATGTTTATTCTCTTCGTGTACTTAATGCAGCTAAGTTAGATATAGAAGTGGTTGCCACTATTAATTAATTGGATCGCGCTCCACAGTACGAGTTGGATATATTATCTGACATCACTGCGGGTTGTGTGGAAAAACATGACAACACGGATTGGCTTTGAAAAACATGACACGTCGAATTTTAGTTAAAAAGCTTTCTTTATTATCATTAGCGTTGTGGAAAATAATAATGCGTCAAAATCGAATAATTTTCTACTAAATCTTGATAAGATTATTGCTTCGATTGTATATTATAAAAAACTAACCCTTCAATAATACACTTCAACTCAAAGGAAAAAAGCGTATAATATATAAATCTAAACATAATAGACTGATAAATGACGAGAGAGAAAAATATATACAGTTCTGGGGTAACCATTTATTCGAAGATTATTTTTAGTTCGTAAACTATATACTACATTTTTAACAAAATACTTTTTTACAAACAATAATGAACAATTATGAAAAATAATAATAAAATAGTATGAATATGTTATGTTAGATTAATAATTATAATCCACACTTATCATTAAATATTACTTATCCCGAGAAATTGACAATCGTCGAATAATTCACACAAGCGCAGATAAAGGACACCGCACTAAATACACTAAAAATGGCTTTCGGTTAAAATTCTTAATATTTTCAAAATTTTTAGTTAAAGGTTTTCTGTTTAAAAAAATAATTAAGCGAAGGTCAAGAAATAAATAACCGAAACATTATTTTGTTTTGTGTTTTAAACATTATTTTTTATGTCAAAGACTGTTGCAAGGCGAAACCCTTATTAGCTATATATATAGTCATCTTAAGATGTAAACCAGATGTGCCAAATATTTAAAAAAGAAGAAAATACTTTATAGGATTAATATTTTCATTTTAATAAATATAAACATAATAAATATAAATATAAAATATTTCCTACATTTTCTTTAAAAATATATTGCATTAGGGGTCGTCCATGGAAAGTTTAGGGGGGAGGGGGGTTCGTCAAATATCTACGATTGTCCACGACGGGAGGTCGCAATGCAAATGTCCACGCGTGGACACAAAAATTTAATTTTATCCTCTTTTCTTTTTATCCAACTTGAAAATTTCGCGTCAATGTATTATAACAGCGTCGGCGCAATTATGAATGCAAAACAACAGTAATGTCTTAAAAATTCTAAATAATTTTTCTTTTTGTTATCATTTGAATGCTTAACTATATATTTTTTTAATTCCATGATGCAAATTCCAATTTTGTTTTGTAAATAATGCACAGAAAAAACTATAATCTATAATTTTAAGAATCTCCTAATTAAATAGGTGCCAAGAATATCCCCTATAGTTAAATTAACACAGAAAAAAACTGAACTCATTTTTATTGCTACTCATTATGAGTTCGGTATCAAAATGAGTAAACGACTAACTTCAAGTTACTCAAAATGAGTCTTACCTGGATCAAATATCAGATTATGTTAGTTTTTATAGAAATTGAAAATTTTAAGAATATTATGTTAATAATAATTTGTTAATTATTTGATTATTATAAAAATTAAAAAGATTATGTTATTTTTATAATATTTATAATAAAGATGTTCAATTCAAAATTTTTGAGTATGTAGGAGATATTAATATGAAATTATATAATTTGAAGAATCTTTTAAATATATTTACCTCTAGAGTTTCACTATTTGAAATTTTTTATAATAAATACTTATTATAATGTTGATATTACAGAATATCAACATAAATAATTAAATAGTTTTAATTTTAAATTTGGCGCCATTAATCTTTGGTTTTCAGGTAGTATTAAAATTTTTGTATTTTATTTTGCATGGTTGGTATTGATACTTATAAATTCACAAGTTCTAACCTAAAAAAATTGTTTTCAATTCTCCATAAATATACGATGAATCGGATTTGAGAAACAAAGTTTTTTCCAGTGCTATCTGTTTGTTTATTGAAAACAATGAATTTAATTAATATTTCTATGACAAAGTGATTGTTATTTCACTGTAATTGTCATTTTATCTTGAACTTAAAATGAGTCGAATCCGACTCATATTGATACTTTTTGCCTGAAACTCAAAATGAGTTGATCGGGATCATTTTTGTTGCAACTCATAATGAATCACTTTTCCGACTCATTTTGAGTTCAGTTTTTTTTCTATGAAGTGGGAAATATTCTTACGATAAGAATATCAATCTTATTGTAAGAATAATATTTCTTACTATTTTAAGTGGGGCCACTTACTGGTGCTTTTACCTTATTTTTCCAAAAATTTTATAATTTTTTTCTTCATTTTTATAGGAACTTATTCTGAACTTTTTTACGGAATAAATCCGATAATTTGTAGTATATACATCAATGAAGTTAGTCCTTAGCTATGAGTGATTTGCCGTGTATTTTAATCTGCCAATTAAATAGAGGCGCGAACTTTAAATGACAAATATTTAAAGTTTGCATCACTATTCGCGATTATTGGGTCAAAGTAATAAATAACTGCGCATGCGGGACTCAGGCCGTTCGTACTTGCGCAGTTTCGTTTATTTTCACACATTTCAGTTCTGATTTAGTATAAAAAGAAATAATTTACGATATTAAGGAAGAATAAACCTGCGAGAGAACAAATAAGAATTTTTAGAAAAATAAAAGAATTCTCTTCTATATACTCATTAATAGTATATATGCAAAGATTAAATAAATATTATGACAAAGATTTACAACAGAGTGCAACTTTCTTTTTTCCGCTTTCCTCTTTAAGATTGTAACCCCTTACAAGGAACCCAGATTCTTTAGGTACGTATAGTGAAGAAAAAAAAAAGAACCCTCTCGTAGCTTTCGCGGAATTTCACGAATGAGAGGATGCCGTTACAAGGAACTTTTGTTCCGTGAGCATATAAACTCGCTTTTTTCCGCGGTGTTGACAGAAGTAGCGAGAAGGTAAGTTGGGTTAGGTAAACCTTTCAACTGTATATTTGGAGTGGGGGAAAAAAAGCGACAAGGGGTTGGGTGAGTTAACGCCCGGTTGGAGGTGGTGCTGTTTTGCAGTGGGCGTTACCACAGCGACCCGATGGATGCCGAGGCAAGGCGGAAAGGGACGAAATTGTGGTGAACGTGGGGGCTTCACAGGTTTGTGTTTTTCTGCGCTTTAGTTCCGCGCCGGGTGCCACGATAGTTGCATCGATCATATGTGTGTGCGCGCATTTTTCAAAACATTTTCCGCTAATTTTCGCGTTTTCGACGCGTTCATTTTTCATTTTCACATGAAATTCACAGTTAAGAAAGAAAAAAGGATTTAATTTTCAATGCAGAGTGTGTAAAAGAAGCTCAAAAGAAAATCTTGATATGGTAGTTTAATGCCTGGACTCACACGTGAAACGAAAATCTTGAATACTCGAAAACGATGTGCTGTGAGTGTGTACAGTGCAGTGTCGTGGTGATTACTTAGTGATAACAATCCGCGCCACCTACAAATTAGTCGCTATCATCGTTATCCTAGGATTGACACTCGAGATAAGGTAAGCAGTTTACTTTTCATCTCGAGCGCCGCTTATCGGAGTGATGGTTTTAAGAAATTTAGTTTGTTTCACTATTCGAGGTTCAGGATTGTGAAATTTTGTTTTTAGCCCTTTCTTCAGTGAGAATAGGTTATTGAACAGTGATTAGTGAATTTAGTGCCTTAAGTCGGAGTAATTTTCGAATTTTTGTTTGGATCTTTGATTCAATATGAGACGTTAATAATAACGTCGCGGCTTTAATCCTAAAATGTCTTATTTCTTCAGTGTATCAACACTGAAGAAATGAGACATTTTAGGATGTCTCATTTCTTCACTGTTGATGCACTGAAGAAATAAGCCATTTTAGGATTAAAGCCGTGACGTTATTATAATAACAAATAATTACGTCTAACAGCTAATTTTTTGCTACAAGAGCAATTTATTATCTGCTGGCTAATAATATAACAAACCCAGTTTACTCCGTGTAGTATTTATCGCACTTTTATGTATACTAAACGAATTTAAAAACAATAGTCAATTAGTTTTTTTATTTTTCGAAAAACTCCAAAAAGCAAAGTTAGGCAATAGGTAAATAGTAAACTACTTTCTACTTCTGGCTATTCACAATTAGGAACTTCTTCTTTCAACTCAAAACAGTCAAATTTTTTCTCATGTTGACGTCAACTTTATTGACAATAATTTCTAACGCGCAACGTAAATAGAAGAGTCTACCATAAGAGACTGTATGGAAATTTGTTTCGTATCGCACTGAATTTGTGAAAAAAGTCCCCAGTCCAAAAAAATAGTGATTTGAATATTATTTTTCGAAAAATATAGTTTAATAGTTATAAAATCCGTGGGATATCATCAATAGTCCTTGGAAGTTAGCGTCGACGCCGAGCGACGAAAAGAAATCGAACAATGGGTTCAAAGGTTTTAGATTGAACAAGTGCTCTTAGCCTTTCTATTAACTCCCTACGGTGAAGAAAGAACTGGAATTAGTAACATTTTCATCTTTAAAAACCCCAAATTAATCCCCGGTTTTATCACAATAAAAAAACATTCTTAATTTAAGAATATTTACTAAAGAGGTGCCCAGGATATTCCCCACTTAAATTAAGTGGAATCTTACAACTTACACTTAATTTAAGTGAGGAATGTCCTGGGTACCTTTTTTTAGTATATATTCTTAAATTACGAATATTTTTTTTCAGTGCAGAGCATTTTCTTATTTCTAGTTAAGATTTATTAAACTATTAACTTTTAAAAGCTTAATTAACCCAATTTTCATTATAAGAACAAAGAAGAAATAACAAGACGAATGTAGTGTAAAAATATTTTCCTGATTTCTGTAATTTCCCCATTTTCTGTAGGTCGGTTATTCGCGTATAAAATTTATCATACTTGGAATTCACAGATTTGCGCAATTTGCGTATATTATTCCTGAAAATTGGAGAAAGCTTCATTGCACCTCAACAATTAGAGGCATCAGGATTATCTGGGATTACAATGTCCAAAAACTTTTGAACCTCTTGAGTCTGAGTATCAGGTATAAATATTGGAGTTGGACTCCCTCTATAGAGCAAACATAATATGAAACGTTGCAATATTATATCCATTTTGTCATGAAATAAAAGAGATTATATGGTTCTTTTAAATCCTTTTAGACATTTGGGTAAACACAATTTGCTTTGGTCTGTGCTAGAATCGCTTATAGGGACTTTTCTCTCTCTCTCTCTGTCTCTCTTAAAAAAGGTAGTAGTAGACTTGCAGCTTTTTCCGTCAGGTTTTCTTTGAGTCATTAAAAATCAATTAGTACGTGGCGTCATTTTTCCGTCTAGACAAATTAAAGAACATCAAAATGAATTGCCAATTCTAGGCTTTCTACTCTTAAATCATTTTAAGGTTATTTCTCTTCTGGCGTTTTTAGGAAGCTATGCAGTTTTTGAGATGCACATCAGTTCATTTATGCACAAGAAAGTGTGTACACTAGGAATATAAGTTTACTTGGAAGTGATCGGCAAAAAGTTGTCTCCCAAGTGTTATATAGTGATTACAGTCTCCCTAAGTGATTAAATATTAAATTTTTCTTTAATGTGGAAATTAGCTTTTCGAGTTCTTTGTTAAAACAAGGTAAAAAACAATTTTTCAAAATTGAACATTAACATTTAGCGTATTGGGACTTAGCGTTCTTATATACTCAGTGATAAATTTGTTTGGTTTTACAGTTTTAGTTTTTATCATACATTAGAAATATCGTATCAATCATCTTACAATAAATCTTAGAAGAAGTCCGCATTTTTGTAGGTTCTTGACAAGAACAGTGAGCTTGTATTTTCCGACGGCACAGCAGGTGGAATAATCGTTATCGTATTGGAACTGAATGTACATATTTTCTCTATAAAATTATTATTTTCCATCAATAGTTTTCATTAAACTTTATATTTGTAGCTAAATATTAGTGTTTTTCATATATTATGAAAAAGCGATACATTATATTGCCATTATTTGTCATAGTATTACAACCTGCTTAAAAAAATGATCGGCAATAAAAAATAACTGTCAATGAAAAAACGACTAAAACTAGAAAAAGTATAATTAAAAAATTTAAGTATAAGATATTAGGTATTCAAATTTAATTACCTATAATTGAATCAGTTAATATTTACCGATATGTGATATTTATAACTTTAATGATCAGTATAGAAATATAAACTAGGCATTTGTTTCAAAATTCAGTGTTTAGTATTTATAAACAGTGTTAGTAGTGTTAGTGTTAATATAGTGCTTCAGTTTAGGGACAAAGGAAACAACAATTTCTATGCATATCAAAGTTTGCAAAACAATATGTGACGCGTTCCGGTGAAAGGGACCTTATACGCGACAAAAAGTTATAGGTTATGTTAAAAACTTTAAAAATCGTTTTATTCTTTTGATTTTTGCGAAAAAGAAACATCGACGCTAAGCGTCGATGCTAACTTCAGGGGCCTTATGTCAATAATTATAAACAATTTTAAGATTATAAGGTAATAGTTGTAAAGTAATAGTTATTATTTATAGTTTTACAAAATTTTTAATTATCAAATATTTTTCTTTAAAGATTTAACTTCGAATGTGGTCATTTAAGTAGTTTCGAAAATAAGGGAAATTAAGATTAGTTAATATTTTTAAACACTTGTGCAAAAGGTGAGTTTCATATCTCTATGCGGACATTTCCGGTGGAAAATAAAAAAGCAAAACATGTCTATTCGCGAGGCACCGGCAAAACAATAAACGAACTTACTGTGGGGTTGCATTCAGTGATAGGAAACGTTAAGTATATATTGTTGGTCTATAGCAAGCTATAATTGGTAATTTGCAAGTATAATCATGTGTCAGTTTGTGTTTTCATTTATTAGCCGCGAATTGCCTCAGCTTATTAGCGCAGCGACGCATTTAAAATATATACACACATTTTTATAAAGATATCGCCAAACAAATGAACAAAAGATATATATAGTGAGAATATATTCATTTTACACTATAGATTCTGCCTTTTTTTTTTAATTAAAAATATTCTAAAAGAACAGATATTTAGATGAACCCTTATTTTATAAACCCTTTTTTTAAATTACTGGCAAAATTTTTATATTTTTATATTTTTATATTTTTAGATTTTTAAATTTTTTCCAATATGTTATTATTTATTCTATAGTGTGCAAGAAAATTTTGTCATTTTCTCGCACTTCGTTCCTATTAATGGCTCAAATTGTTTGCGCTCCTCAAGTATCAACGGAAGTTATAAAATTTACCTTTCAGCATAATTGTCTCTGTCGAGAGTTTCTCGGATTCAGGTTCATGTTTATTCAATTTTAATCTTTATGTATATATGTGTACTATACTCTCGCTATTTTTTTTTTTTTCATTTTTGATGCGTAATGTATACACACATACACAATTTCTGTTGTCGTTTGAAAGCCTTTTTTCTTAAATTATATACAATTTAACATCCTGTTCAAATTATATTTTCAAAAGATCAACACCCGCAAAAAATGGAATATTTATTTTCTTTATGTTTATAATAAATAGGAGTTTATTATTTATTAAAATAAAGAAAGTATATACAGCTGAAAGGAGTAGGGGAAATCAGAAACGGTTTCAACGGTCTTTTGTTCCTTGATGTACCGTATAAAAATTTGTCTATAATCTCCTTATCTTAAATTAAAATATAGTTAGTTTCCTATAGTAGAGAAAAATTATATATAAGACGCGCTCGCATCTTATTATGATGAGTAGCAGTTCTACTATACTTAAAACGATGAAGTAATAATTTTAATTTCAAACAATTTATTTTAGAAATTCTGCTAAATTGTTGTTCTAAAAAAAGTGATGAAATTCTAAAATATTAACATTTTTTTAAAATTGTGTGATTTATATAGAGATTACACTATTTATGATGTTCTAAGCGAAATTTAATTTAAAATCTGTAATTTCGACAAAACTTGACAGATTTCAATTTTTATTGTAGTGAAAACTTTGCATATGAAATCATTATATGCAGAGTTTAACTAACCGTCGGGACACTTTTGGACCCAAAGGTTGCAGGGTGGCATGTCAGTAAAGTTAGGGAAATAACAGAAATAAAATTTTTGGCAGAGAAATTTAGAAAATTGAGACTTTTTTTTACTTATTTTCAAAATTTTGCAAATTTTTCGACTTTTCTTCCTAATATTGCAACAAAATACCTACATAGTGCGGACTCGTTTACCTATTAGATAATAAACATTTTTACTAATTTTTTAGTAGAAAATTACTAATTTGATATAGTGTTATCTATTAAATAAAAGAGTGAAACTTATCTTTTTCAATCAATGGACATTTTATTGAAATTTTAGTGAAATTAAAAGCTTTTTACTAAAAATTAATATAATCATTATTATTGAATTGGAAAACAAATCTACACTCTTTAATTAGTAGAAAACTACTATAATATTCAGAGTGTAACAACGCCGATTTTTAAAAATGTTTACAAGTGTTATATC